AATATGAACTTTAATTTTATATGTGTATGTATGTGTGTGTGTGTGTGTATATAAATATAAAATAGGAACTAATAGGTTATTTTAATAAATTTTGAGTTTAGTCTTACTAGACTATATTTGATTATGCATTGTTTAGAAATAAGTCATAAATTAAGTGGTTTAATATTTCTGAAGTAATTAAATTCTGTTTTATACAGATTTTTATCATAGGCAGTAACATTCTCATTTTTATTCAGATGAGGTAAGTCAGGTAGTGAGAGCTCCCTGATGTGACGGAATTATTGTGGCTTGACAGGTGGCAGTTTGCTCAGGCACTTACCTGACCAATAGCAGACCTGTTCCAGTCACAACTGGCAGAGATGAAGCAGAGCTCTTCACTCTGCTGTCCACTCAGTGAGGGGTGGACATTCCAGGCCGGCACTGCCATGGCTCCAGTGAGAGAGTAGACAACTGATCATTGGGCAAAGATTGTGATATTCGAGCTGGAAGTAACTACCCACGTTGACTTGATAAGTATCATTAGAGATTCCTTACAGTGCTTTCATCTCTGGATATTCATCTGTGATTTTTTTGTTTTTCTAAAATAATTACCAGTAGAACTATAATTTCTCTATACAGCAGTTGTATTTATTTATGACTGAGCTGGACATGAAGTACAGGTAGGATTCACAGCAGAGGGGGAAGGAGAGAAGGGCATTTCAGTAGAGCCAGTGAGTCTGTGTTTGCAGGAAGGTACAACGTCAGTGGAATGGTGACATGTTTACAGAAACGTGGCAGAGGAGTCTGTTAAGTGGAGAATGTTTACTAGAGAAGTAACTCGAAGTTGGGACCATGTTAGGAAGATCCAGATGCCAACCAAAACTTGGATACCACTTAAAATAGTCTAGATCCAGATTCTTTACTTGCACGGAGTGTTGGTCTTCCTCTAGAGTATTTTTCTTAATAGCATATTTCATGATACGTTGTCTGACTTTTAGTCAATCTGATTTTTATAACCAACCTTAAATAGCCCTTTTAGATTTTAATGGGTCTCTCATAATCATGAATGCTTATTTTCCTCAGATGAAAACCTCTTTTGTGACAAGCAGATATAAAATCAGTTTACTTGGAATTTAAAGAAGCGATTATAACTTAGAATTCAGTTAAATTCCCAATGTGTAAGAAAATGTTACCTGTTATATACTAAATACTGTGTCTTTTTTCATTGTCCATTACCTGATAGTAATGGATTTGAGAATGTCCTAAAATAGCACATTTGATGCCAACAGTCCAAAATGCTTCACTCTCTAACTTTCTCAGTCAGTAACTTTACAAAGTTATATTGCTAACTCACACATAATGGACATATATCGGTTACTTCTTAACTTACAAAAGTATTCATGCAGTAAACTTAGGGACTGTCTCATCTTGGGTTTTTAAAATAAGGAATTGACCAAATTGCAGTAAATTATAAGGCAGCCTAGCTGGGAAGCTGCTCTGGAAGGGACAGAGGTCCTTGTACTCAGTCTTACCACGGAATGGGAGGAAGGGACCATCTGTACAGGTGGCTGTGATACAGGATGAGAAACTCACTGCTGAGAGGGAACAAAGGCAGTCCTGTGGGAACGTAACTGAGGAGAGATTGTTATCTCCCCGGCCCTGGGAAGGTGAGTGGGCTGGCAGGTGGTGGCAGTGAGCCCCAGAGACAAAAGGTAGAGAGAATTCGGGCAGACGTGTTGCATCAGAGCCACGTGAGTCAGAATAGAATGGGAGGGGTGTGAAGGGCAGTTTGGGTCTGGCCTGGTGCTCTGGGAGAGGAGCAGGCTTCAGCTCGGCTGCCTTGTGCCCGAGGCTGCTGTGTGTTTGACAGCAGCTGGCAGCCGTGAGGTCTGGTCGGGGTAGCATCACCTGAGCTGTGCTCCTGACAGATCAGTCATGAGGAGAGATCCTTATTTTGCCAGAATTTTCCTGAAATTTATAACGTAAACATCAGCCTATTTAAAGATAGGTAGCAGTGTGCTGTCAAATATCTGTATACATGATCAGTTCTACTTGAGTATTTAAATTCAGACTTATTAAATTTCACAGTGCGTGTAGTGTCATAAATTACCTACCGTATAATGATGTAGGATTTCAGGTTATGTAAATATGATTTGCAGTTCATATGGAGTCTACAACCTAAGCTTATGATTTAGTTTCCTACTTATGTAAAGTAGCTATGACGTGAAAGAGCCTGGTAGCTGCCCTCAGGTATGCGATTACCAGTCACATGAGTGAAGAAGTTGAGACACGAAGAGACAGGGCTGCGAGGCTGCATTCGGTTGTGAACATGGAGCAAAGACATCCTCCTAGAGCGAGAGCTGTGAGTACCAGGAGAGCCCTCCGGTGGGCAGCGCCAGCCGCGCGCAGTGCTTGGTTTTAGAGAGAAGCAGAATAGTCCTGTTCTCACTGTCTTTTAGAGTTCAATTTTGATTTTTTGATTTTTAAAAAGAAAGAGTTTGTTTTATTACAGTTTATCTAAATAAGTATTTGGGACTTTTTTGGTCTTTATGAATTGTAATCTTATGAAGCATACCAGAAATAGAGAGGGAGCCTTGGTTTATAGTTTTAAAAATATATATTTGGTGTTTTCTTATTTATAGTAGTGTTATTAAAAATACTGTATGACTAGTGTTATTGCTAAACATTTTTGTTGTCAGAGATGATAATTGGTTATCTTCTTAAAAGGACGGTTCTTATTTACATTACAAGGTCAGCATTACATTAACCAAAAGATAATGCCATTTGAAAATGTAGGTGACACGGACAGTCAGCCTTCTGACATTCAATAAGCATTGCTTTTCTATCAGTCAAGTACAAAGCAGAGGAAAAGATAACTGTTGCTTTTAGAACTTTAAAAAAAAAGTGTGACCTAGGATACCAGTTAAAAGGGAGTACTCTGGGATTTTCAGTACTCCAACCAGAGTTGTTACTGGACGACTGTTTAAAAAAACTCTACCACGAGAGCAAGGGTTTT